CCCCCCGGAGGCGCGGATATTAAAAGACCCCTGCCTGATGATCACATTATATTCTTGTTTTCCCCCCTCTGGCAGGTTACGGCCTGAAATGCCACCTGCGACACAACGGGGCTGCGCGTGGGAACCAATAAAAGAGAAAGGAAGACAGGAAAGGGGGGGAAAAAACGAAAGTCGGACATATATCACAGTTTAATCTTCTGTCCTCATCTGCAAAGTGTGGGAGGGAGAGATTTCTCAGGTGAAAAGAGGCTGTTTTGTGTCACGGATGGTCACATGACGTGAGCTCGATGCTGTTTTATACAGCATTCTGCTACCGGAGACCATAGATGTAAATATCAGTTTGAAATTAACTGTCAGGCACCCAGTCTAGGGGGAGTGCAGGATTCCAGAACAAATCTGTTCAAATTCTAAATAAAAATATGCTGCTTTTATCTGTGGTGGGGAGTTCAGGTCCAGAGAGTAAAAATCCAGGACAAGATTTTCTTTCAACCAACCTGCTGAGTATAAAGAGTCTCAGTCACAGAGTAACTCAACTGGACGGTTGAAACAAAATCTTGGTCTGGATTTTAACTCTCTGGATCTGAACTATCAACCTCCGGCTTTTATCTCCATCCATCCAGCCAGCACATTCAGCACAGGGTCAGGGTAAAATCTGTCTGCTGATCAAGAAAAATGGGTCAAAATGGTCAATAACCACGTGTAATTGGTCAGCATCTCATCAGAACTCATCCACTTACAATTTCAGTGAGAGTTGAACCTCTGTTACTGTTATATGTGCTGGTGCCCTGCGATGGATCCGTGCTCTGTCCTGGGTTATTCCCTGAGTTATGCCCATAGCTTCTGGGATAGGCTCTGGACCCCCGCAACCCTGCATGGGACAAGCGGGTATGGAAAATGGGTGAATGGATGTGGTCCTTAAATGTTTCTTACTTAACGTTTCTTTTTTTAAAAAAAAAAAAAAAGTAAAGAAACATCTTTTTTTTTGCCCTGTAAACATTCTCTTGCATCAGTGTCCTTACCGGCAGTTTCCCGGATTAAGAAACACCGTCTATTTACTATAATGGCCTAGGATTTTCCAACATAAATGGCGTCAATGGGTTTATTGGAAAAAGTGGTAAGGAGCGTAACGTTCTGTGGTATCGATCCGCGGAATGGCATCGGCTGAGGAAAAAAAATAACCAAAGTGAAGTAAGCAGGAGCGTGAGGCAGTAATTCGGGCTTATTGAAAGGCATGGCTCGTCGAGCATCGATTGCTATCAGAAGCGCACGAGACCCCACCCTGGAAAAAGGGATCGGTAGGAGAAACAGTTTACTATGCGATGCGCGTACGCGGAGATGCTAAGCGCGCTCCCGGATGATGAGACCCGGATCAGCGCCGGGTGTCGGAGCCGCAATGGGCGTCTCCGGGTCCCCTGCACCCCCGTGAAGCAGCCGGCAGCCGAACGGCTTCTTCCTCTTACCCATTTGTTACTGCTGACTTTGGGGCTGAAAAGCATCCCCACTCACCCCCCACCCCCCATCCTCCCCCTCCCCCGCACTCCTGCATCTCCTCCAGGTCATTATTGTGAAATATGACGAGCCCTAGATCTGACTTCATGAAATTTCAATGAGCATTGATCCGTGTGATTGCAAGGAATCCTTCAAGTAGTGCCTGACGCCAGCCATTAAAATCCAGCTCATTTGTGTGTTTAAATCGCTAGTAGGAAGGTTTTTTTCTATTATTATTACTATTCTATTAGTGTGTGCGTGTACGTGAGTATAATAAAACTGTATCCTCTGGGATTTTAGAGATATCTATATCG